GAGATTATGCGAATGAATTGTTTCAACTGAATATATAATATTTTGTACATATTATGTGATAGTATCATTTTCTGATAGCGATACCTACATATATGTTAATAATAATTATAATTAATTATAATCGTTGTTTAACTTTGAATAGAAAACACGAAATAATGACGTCGCATTGTATACTAAAAACTGTAATTAAACAGTACTAATTACTGTATAGAATAAAAATTTCTATTGATTTTTTATAATTTAATATTATTCATAACCCTCACTTCAATCATCACATTGCATATTTTCGTCTACTTTATATATTTTTATTTTGTCTACTATATACATACCTTATATATTTTATTAATTTTTCGGAATATGAATAGGTATGGATATTTTGTAATATTTGTACTAAAAAGCAACTCTAGCTCTCTCTTGACAAGGTATATTTTATAATCACAAATTCTATTTATTTATCAGATTTTTATTACATTTATTTCTCTCTTATATATACTTTACATTTATTTATTATAGTTAGCTAAGACTATTTTTATAATACAAATCTAAATTAATAAGACATCAGCGTTAAAATATAGCGAAATAATCTTTCATCAGATCAAGCATATTTTGTTTGTATTAATAATTTCAGGTATCACTGTTTTAATTTTAAGCTTAATTCTCAATAAGCTCTTATCCTTTCCAATAGTTTATAACTCAGGGACTGTGTGCGCCTCGATGTTTATTATCGAAAACGAAAAATTCGTAGTTCAAAATTTGATAAGAGACATCTTCTATATCGACATGATCTTACAGCTAATACAAGTATTATCTAATTGTTTCGAAAAAGCACATCAACCAACGAAAACGACTTCTTAAAATTAACATATAAACAAACACATATATTATTTATGATCTATATGATCTTCCTGTAGATATCTTTGTCCACAAATATTCAAACAAATGTGTAACGGTACGAGTCGAAAATTGCGTGAGGCACTGTGTATTTACATGACATATCTATCAAAATATCAGAGGTTGGCATTGGGAGCAATCCAGCAAGCGACACAAGTGTTGCTTTGTTCGTTACTCATTGCAAAAAAGAAAAATAGGACGACGTTAGTGTCGACTTGTGTCGTTTGCTGGAAAGCTCTTATATTTTAGTCAATATTCGGTGTTCTTTCGAGATGGTCGGAAGGGTCGAACGGCAGTTACGCTGAACTATTTCCTTCATATTAACGGCTTTCGTGGTGATAGCGCATAATTAATTGCTGCAAAGAACTGTAGCTTAATCAGCATACAAGTGTAATACACAAGGTAAGTCATTAAGAACAATAATAATTAATTAGGTATTATATTTCGTTAAAGATACAAAGAAATATATAAAACGTAATTTAAGTAATTTCGACAGACAATACACGATGAAATTTAACTTTATTTCCTCGACATTACTTATTCTCATGGATTGCAATAAATTTTTATTTTAAATAATGTGTTTTTTTAATTAGTCGACATATTTTGTTTCTTATCGTTGCTGCATAATAAAAACTGGAAAGCGAAAAATTTAATATAAATTTCGAAACGATCTTGATACACATAACGTGATACACATTTGCGAACGTAGAAAAAAATGTTAAACAAAAGACGAAATAATTATTGTTATTGACAAATAAATAGAATTAACGGTCATGTGATAAAAAATGTTTATTACTTTCGTTCTTTGAAATAATTTACGTTATTTCCTATATTTTTTCCTTCAAGTATATTCAAGGCACAGAAATGATAAGCGAAAGGAATTCAACACTGCTATAACCGACAACTAAATAATTCAAATTCTACATATTATAACAATATTTACGTTTTTTTACTTCCAATGAAATATTCTATATAGCCAAATAAAAAATATACACACGTCGCGTTAGGTGCGTAAAATTCTTCTCGAAAACTGAATAAAATAATTTCCTCTTAATTCTAAGAAAATATAAGAATAACAGAATAAATTAATTACGAGCACATCAAGATATACATTCAATATTTTATAAAAAAATATTTATAATTTTCCGCGAAGTAGGTCGTACATATAATCGCCTTGATAAAAGTTGGAATTGTGTTTATCCTTTTCTTTTCTCCTCTGTTCCTTCGATTTTTGTATAAAAATTAATATTAAATTTCAATAACTTGTACCGCATTGTATTATTATTTGTTTTCTTTTTAATGAAAAGTTACAGAAACCTAAGACGAGTATTGACATGGAATTACCAAAATTGTTATTACATATCGGTTTAATATTGGCCACAGTCACGGACTTGTGTGTCGCTGATGATCCAAGACATATACATCGTTTACCCACCAACTCAAGACCAATTGATTATCACATCAAGCTGACTATTCCGGATCTCGAAAAAAGCAATACTTATCACGGTGAAACCAAAATCACTATGCGCATTGAGCGCAAATCGTTTAACATAAGCTTGCACTCGCAAGGATTAGAAATAAATGAAACGGCCACAACATTGAGGAACGGCACAATAACATATAAACCGACGATCAAACATATTTATGACCATAAAACGAATATATTATCGCTACATTTCGAAAAGCAATTGTATTACGGTTCTTATACCCTGAACATGAAGTTTGCTGGTAATTTCTCTCAGACTGGTTTTGGCAATGGTGGTTTTATAAAAATTCCGTACACAGATGAGGATGAATACAAAACATATAACAGGACGTAAGCAAATATTAAAAATATTAAAAATATACTGTGTAAAGTACGTACGTAAATGCTATTGTTGTTACCTTATTTATTTGTTACTTTTACTTATTACCTTTTTTTATTTACTACTTTCATCGTTATCGAATTACACAACATATATAAAGCACGGCGAAACACAGTTTAGAATGTGTATCCATTTTATTATTAAAACCGTTTTCTAGTATGTAAGTATATATTTACAATAAAGTATTTGCAAAAAATGCATGTAATGTTTAAAAGAATATTTACTTTGGCTTAAAATGAAACGACAGCAGAGTACAACATTTCTCTTTCTACTTTCAACAAAATAATAATTACATACAATATAATAAACATATAATATATAAACAATAACTAGTATTCCTTAACTTCTCGTGTCCCACTTGCTATAATGAGTGGTAAGTTTGTACTATGAGTGGTATTTTTGTCCTTATTTATAAAATTGTTTAAAATCACAGGTTGGCCGCAACATACCTCTTGCCGAATAAAGCCAGACGAATGTTTCCATGTTGGGACGAGCCAGCGATAAAAGCTTATTTCATGATCTCCGTGATGCATCATCAGAAATACACGGTATTATCAAATTGGCCGATCGAAGAGCAGTACAACGTAGAAAATAACATGAAATGGACACATTTTGACCGCACTCACCCAGTGTCCGCTTATCTCGTGGGAATTGTGATTGTATCAGATTTTGTTCCCGTTAATAACGCGGACCAGTCCGTTAATGTGTGGTGCAGATCGTCTTTGAAATCGTCAGCAATAATCGTGCAAGCCATTGCCGAAAAAGTCACGAAGTTCTTGGAAAAGTATACCGATAGAACCAAAGGGGTACCGAAAATAGATCACGTCATAGTACCAGATTATCCCACCGCCTCCATGGGAGATTGGGGAATCATCATTTACCAGTAATATTCATAAATAAAGAGATTTATTAATATGTACATGAATAAAAGAAATTAATATGAAGCTATTAGAACTAACGAATAACTTCTAGCATTCAAATTTTGATAATTAAAAACGATAAAAAACACATGTGTATTTTATGGATATTTAAATTTCATTTATATATTTTCATTCTTAGGCTGTTTTAAAACAAATTAACGTATTTAATTGATGTGAATGTCACCCTTTCTTTCAATGATATATATATATATATATATATATATATATATATATATATATTTATATATATATACACATTAGACTGGCATGCTAACGATGAAAAAAAACTAGGCATAATCACATTTTGAATATTATGTTATGTTATGTCTTTTAGAGAATCAAAAGTTGCCTACGATGGTGGTAGCAAGGATCCTACATTTCAGGGAAGGAATGTAGCTTTTTATGTAGCATATGAAATCGCACATCAGTGGTTCGGCAATATCATCACCCCATCATGGTGGACTGACATGTGGTTAAATGAGGGATTTGCTGTGTATTTCCAGGCGTATTTCCTCGATAAGGTTTAATATTACTAATGCAATGAATTGCTCGTTAAATAGAAAAGTTGGAAATGCACTTCATTCTCTAAAATCAAAATAACATCCATTAAATATTTCTATATTCTTATAAAATGTATCAGGACAAAGCTAAATAACTAATGGCAATTCTTTAATTTAGAATTATAAAAAAGATTGTAACACTGTTCTTTCCGCGAATAACTAGAACGAAACATTTAATACTAATTTCTATTAAAATTCGAGAATATTATGTTCTCAGCACTTGTCTCCTCCCAAGCTCATATTAAAGATTTACTATTTTTAATCTCTTATGTTTCAACATTATTTTCATATTTGGCGATACAATGATTATTATTGTAATAGTTTTATTAGAATTTAAACGTATTTTATTTTTCGCATCTATAACAATAAATATTTAACAAAAAAATTCAACTTCTAGAATTTTTATATCTTGATTTTATCTTTGTATTCAGTAATGTACATTATCTTAAAAAATAATTGAAGTATGATCTTCTTAAAAAAAATTATATACGTGAAACGGTTAACATTTGACATAAATAAATTACAATAAAAATTAAAATAGTAAAGTTATTAAAAGTGGCGTACAGGTAGGTTTGTATCCCTATAAATGCGAACTTTTCTTCGAATTTTTGTATTCAGCCATATCAAAGGATTGTTTTCTGTTATAGATGAAAATTGCATTTGATCCTTTTCGGTCAATGGACTTATTCGTTACTGGGGCCATGCACCATGCTCTCCATCTAGATGATGGCTTATTGGGTTCTGTTACATTGAACCTTTATGATAACGATACCTTGGATAACCAACTCTTTGTTGATCAAGTTCTTGAAAAAGGTAAAATTATGTAAATAAAATGAAACTATCGTCCATGATTAGCTTAATGTAGAATAGCACGAAGACAGAGGTGGAACAGAAAGTGAATAGACAACAAATTCTTGTTTTGCGCAATACGTTCACATATGCCTTATTTTATGTATAAAAGTATATAAAATATACTTTATACGTATTATTAATCAGTATTTTATGCTGTGTGTCGTAGCTCCAGCTATATTGCGCATGTTACATCATGCAGTGGGCGACGAGGTATTTCGAAATGGTATCACCAAGTATTTCGCTACAAAGTAAGTATGTATGTATAGTCTATTATAGTTATTACATATCGCAACATTAAATATCATAAGTATAATATGTTTCTTGCGTTTACGTTGGAAAATATAAAACATCACATCAGAGACATAAACTTGTGCGTTCAATATCCAATGCTATTCGATTAGAAGAGACCATACTTTATTCCTTAATTATAATTTGACTAACGATAAGCTAGTTTTAAATCATATTCTTAGTTTCTACATATGTATTAATTAAATTGTACATTAATGCTCACGTTTGATTTTGTAATAGTAAATAAATACGTACGACATATGTGTTATAAGCTAATAACAATGTCATATGTTTCTTTAGCGAATTTATGGCGGTCATTCCCGATGATTTCTGGAGCGCCATACAAAGTGCTAAAGACGAAGCTTCTTACGTCCCTTCTATGCGAGATCAAAAATTCAGAATAAAAGATGTGATGGATACGTGGATAGTCCAAAATCGTTATCCTGTGCTGAATGTAACGATGAATTACCACACTGGTGAACTAACAATAACACAAAAATGTTTCCACGCAACTGAAGATATCAATAATAAATGGTGGATACCCATATCCTACACTGACGAGAACTTTCCGGATTTTTCCAATACTTCGCCTATTAGTTGGTTAAAGCCAGATGACGAAATTCTTAGAGTGCAAATTGATCCATTAGTTGCGATTGGGCACGGCTGGATTATCGTCAATCTACAACAAACTGGTATAAATCAATAAATTTTACGCTCTTTTATATCTATCTTATTTGCTTTATCAACACAAAAGTTTTACAATATATTCAAGTTCTTAATATATCTTTTTATTAAAAAGAAGCTTCAAAATTTATATAATTATAAATAATCTTCGATACATTGGTGAATTACATTGATAATTCATTGGTGAAGTACATTGGTAATGTACATTATTTTGTAACAATTGTAAGGTGCAAATTACATAAAATTTGTTTATTACAATAATCAAAATGTCAGTAATTGAAAATATACCTTGATAATTTCAAACAAGAAGATCTAATAATAAATTTAATGGATATTTCGACAGTGTACTGTCGTGTCTATTACGATACCAGAATTTACGAAAGAATCATAGTTTACTTGGCCTCTCAAGAACACACGAAAATACACGTTCTCAATCGTGCTCAAATTATCGATGATGCATATGCCTTTTTGCTCAAAGATCAACTAGATAGCTATATATTCATAGATCTTATAACTTACTACAAATTGGAGAGAGATTATGTAGCATGGCGTCCAATGTTCCAAATATTAAGATGGAATCAGAAGTACTTTTCACTGCCAGAGAGTAAAGGTTTCAAGGTATGTAATAACAGATTTTATAAAAATGAAAATATATTTGGCTCTTTAATTTGGCCAGTTCTGCATTTACACATTCACCGCTTTGTCATAAAGTCTGTCGCAGTCGGTTTTATAATCGCACAATCGTAGGAAACGTTTTAATTAATATTAATACGAATGGACGTTAGGGAAACTTAGGCGCAAGCTCACCAATAATCCTTGTGAATTTTAGTAAATGTTTTAACAATTAAGGCACTAACGAAATATATATATATATATATATATGTATACATACATTGTATATATATGAATCACGTCACTTCGCATGTAGCAACAAACCAATATAAAATTCAATATTATCTCATGATTTCTAGTTATACATGGTAGAAATCTTTGATGGGGTTCTTCAACATGTGGGATACGAAGAAAATGTTTATGATTACGATTTCACTAAGTTACTAAGACTAGATGCCACGAAATGGGCATGTACCGTCGGTCACGCGGAATGCAAGAGAACTGCCGCCGTTAAATTAAGCGAACATTTGGCGGATCCTGATACTCACAAGTAACTCGTTTTATGGTCATAATTATCTTATAATTTACATTTGTGCGTGTGTGTTGCGTATGCGCGCGCACGTATGCATATGGATGTAATCGATTCCTTTAATTATTTCTTCGAGTCGTCGAGATCAGACAGTCTCTTTATTGTTTTTTCTTAATTTTTATTCTTGTTTTAATACATAAAATAAATATGCGAAACAAGTAAAAATATTGTATCGTATATAATAACAAGAGACGTTATCGATGGATTCATCTTTCATTCATTTATTCATTCACTGTGTTCACACGTATTAGTCTTATGGTCACGTGGCAAATATAGAGTGACAGAACAGCGCACGACAGACACTTAATTTTGCAAAATAAGATTTACCTAACAGAACGGAAAAAAATACAAAACACTTGATAAAATAAAACGTCGGCTATATGCGTATGAAATGCATGTATCTCTTTTCCATACACACATATGTATTTTAGGATTTCATACTGGTGGCAAGATTGGACGTACTGCTTTGGTTTGGCGGTAGCTAATAAGACTACTTGGGATAAAATGATGGAACTATATCAACGAACATCTAATAACAAACTTTTGAAAAACTTGAATTGTGCTGAAGATCCTGATATCATTATCAACTATTTGAATATTACAGCATCGAATACTACATTATTTAAGGACCATGTATTTATCTTCAATTTAATTCTTGAAAACCATGCACGCAACGATTTGGTCCTTGACTACATATTAGCAAATTTTAATCATGTAAAACCCAGGTAATACATATCTCTTTACAAATATATATTCTATTCTTTTTAAATAAATTTATTTTATGCATTAATTATACAAATATATTATTTTGTTCTTACAGATCACTTGCTGCAACACAAACGATATTTAATATATCTCAGAATGTTTATTCTAACGAACAATTGTCCAAGGTAGATTTTATGATTCTACATTCATACTTATATTTTTCTATTGATTCCTTTAACTGTAGCGCGCTTAAAATCAAACGTTCGTCGTGTTTGGAATTATAGATTAATGCAACTTTACATAATTAAATTAATATTTATAATTTATTTTGTTCATATTTTTGGGCTATATATTTGTATCTTATAAAGCTGTGTTTGAAATTGAGAAATACTAGCGCGTGGTTTAAAACTAAATTTTTATAATATTGTAATTAAATCTAAGAATATTACTGTGTTGTGAATTGATAATTGAGTACTGAATATTAATATACATGTACATATAGGTATATGTGTGTATGCCTTCTTTAATTAATAATAAATTTTCGTGGATGTTAATGTATATATTTTCTGCAAATAGAAGACAATTTTATATATATACTTCCACAGTTAAGGAATTAAATGTATTTATATGCATACCATGCACTGTTAGTGTTATGTCAAATCAAAAATTATACTTTATAAGATCGTTGTATAAGAATAAATTACTACTTATTATTGATAAACATCCTCAACTAACCTGTTTCAGGTGAACACATTTGCGGGAAAATATTTCCATCGAGATCGAGACGCTTTGGCACGAATTAGATTTCTGATAGAAAAGCGTAGAAATATACTTAAAGCGTCCGTTGATATTTTTACAAAGCGATTTGGAAAAAGTCAAACTTTAATTGATCAATTACACAAATTAGATTATGATGAAGAAGACGTCAATAGTGGATTGATCAATCAAGACGTTGCGTCTGTTACAATCACGATGGATCAAGACCTATCTGCATAATTTTTCAAACAATACTATTTTTATTTATTATTACTGTTTTGTAAATAATTTTTTAATTATTTTTAATTATTTCTAATATTTTTATAATACTTTAGTATTTTATTAATAGTCTGGAAGCTATTGATAAAAATTTCTGTGACAATGCTGTTCTGTAATTAAATATATTTATATGTCATATTATTGTTATACTGTTATAATATGACATATTACTGTTCTGTAATTAAAAAATAATTTATAGAGTATTAGACTTGATGCTGTTTGATATCCTTCGTAAAATATCTTTTATAAACGCACTTTAGTTTTATTACATTTGATATAGAGCTCATGCGGATGAATTTTTTAAATTGAATTTATAATACTTTGTAGACATTATGTAATAGTATTATTTGCTAATAATGTACATAAATTATAATTATAATTATATTTATAATTATAATTATAATCGTTGCTAGACTTTGAATAAAAGACATGAAATAATGACGTCGCATTGCACTAAAAACTTTATTTAAACAGTATTTATTACTGTATAGAATAAAAATTTTTGTTCATTCTTTAAAGTTTAATATTATTTACAACCCCCATTTTCATCATTTTATTTATTGCATATATTTTCATGGCTGCATAAAAATAAATTTATACTACAAATTAAAGATAAATATCCTTAACATTCTAATCTGTTTCAGGTGAAAAGATTCGCAGAAACTTATTTTCATCATAATCCAAACTCTTTGGCAAACATTGTAAATCTGATAGAAAAGCATAAAAATAATCTTAAAGAGTCCGTAGATATTTTTACAAAGCGATTTGGAAAAAATCAAACTTAAGTGACCAATATATTGATTTGATCAATCAAAAATATCAAATGTGATGCAAGACATACAATTACCTACATAATTTTTCAAACAGTATCATTTTTATTTGTTATTACCTTTTTGTAAATATATAATTTGTTATTAATTTTTAATTATTTTTAATACTTTTAATTTTTTTATAATATTTAGTAATTTTATTAATAGTCTGGAAGCTATTGATAAAATCATCTATGAAATTTTACTGTTTTATAAATAACAAATAATTTATATAGTATTAGGTTTGATGTTGTTTGATATTTTTCATAAAATATCTTTTATAAACGTACTAACATTGATTTATTACTCAGTATAGGAGATTATGCGAATGAATTATTTCAACTGAATATTAATATAATATTTTGTAGATATTATATGATAGTATCATTTTCTAATAGCAATACCTACATATATGTTAATAATAATTATAATCAATTATAATCGCGTTGTTTGACTTTAAATAGAAAACGCGAAATAATGACGTCGCATTGTACTAAACATTGTAAAAAACTTTACTTAAACAGTATTAATTACTGTATAGAATAAAAATAAACGTTTCTGTTAACTTTTTATAATTTAATATTATTCATAACCTTCACTTTCATCATCTTACATATATATATGCATATTTTCGTTTATTTTAAATATTATTGTTTCGTCTACTATACATATTTTATATATTTATTAATTTTTCGAAATATAAAGAGATATGGATATTTTGTAATATTTATACTAAAAAGCAACTCTCTCTCTTGACAAGGTGTATCTTATATATTCCATTTATTATCCACATATATATTAATTCCATTTATTTATCAGATTTTTATTACATTTATTTCTCTCTGTATATACATTACATTTATTTATTATAGCTAGCTAAAACTACTTCGATAATACAAATCTAAATAAATACATTAACGTTAAAATATAGCGAAATAATCTTTCAGATCAAGCATATTCCGTTTGTATTAATAATTTCAGTTATTAACACAATTTCAAATTCTTGTGACATATATATGTATAACATAGGTATAATTTTTTGCCATATCTGTAATTGAGAGTAAATTATGCATGTGCTTTATAATTTTTACTCTACTGTGTTTTTTTAAATATTTTTATAACTTTGTAGCTGAATATGTTAAATTTATTATAAAATTGGCAATTATATAGTACAATTATAATATATACTTTAGACTAAATTCAATTTCTCTTATTAGCTTTGTGTGAATTTCTGAAATTAAATGGCTATAATTTATATAAATATATTACATTATACAATATATAAATATGTTTTTTCAAAAAATGTTCTATAACTGTAATAATTATAAGCTTAATTCTCAATAAGCTTATCCTTTCCAATCGTTTATAACTCAGGGACTCTGCAATGTGCGTTTTGATATTTATTATCGAGAACGAAAAATTCTTATTTAACTTATTTTTTAACGTTATAATAATTCAAACCAATAAATCCGTTAAGTGTGAAATTAGCTACGTATTTCCCCATGATCAATTCGGAAGTGATCCGATATATATATCTTATCAATATGAAATTTGCAGCGTGCAGTTATCGATTATAAAAAGACAAATAACGTAAATCAAAATGTAAATTGGAAATTATCTAAATTGTAAGCACGCGTTATCTTTACATCTCACAATTTTGGCTCTTATCAAAATTTCTGTATATATAATTTATAAATTTATCCATTGACGTATATTGAATTGACGTAATGTCTACAACGCGAAATTTTGACAAGTCAGACATTCGCGGAACAAATACTGCAGTGATTCAAAAATTGCAATGGTTAGTTTAATATTATATTTACTATTTATGCTGCGCTTAAGAAATCTATTTAGTAAACTGCGTTCAAAAAATAAATATCTCTATTAATTTTCTAACACTTGTTTATAATTTGAAAGATGTCGATCATATCACATTTTCTCACAAATCAAACTTTCGTGTCAAATTTTTGAATTTTGTATAATTTTCTAGTCGCCAAGATGCGCAGATACCAAAGGGGCAAAAGGAAAATACGGAGTATAAAATAACACCTCCGGTTATACGTATAACAATACAGACTGTACAGGACAAAATCCGTTCTGAAAAAAAGGAATTAAAACGTAAATTCGTACGTGACGTCTCTTGCGTAAAAGACTCTTCAACGGATATTCGAGATAAAGATGAGAGAAAACCTGATCGACTCGAGGTCAGTAATATAAATACGATGTAATGAGCACAAATATCATTTTGCAAACAATATGAGTTATATTCTAAATAGCGCGTATAAAAAATTATCTAAGTTATTGTCTTTTTAAACTGAATCATCGAATCATTTATCGTCTCACTATGCTATATAAGTATAATAAAATAATTATTTTCTATTATCAACATATTTAATACAGAAGACACGTGTGATCTTTCCGGAGATGCGAGGAGGCATACTGTATTCCAGATGTTGTTGCTTGCATAGAGACGGCCTCCAGGACTATTGTCCTTTATCGCAATGTCAAGGGCGACCGGAATGTTTAGTTAAACCGTGGGCCGTCTGTCCACCAGGAAAATTTGTTAGACTACGTTATCCAGAATTGTATCCAAAAGTATCTGGTACCAGTTGCACCACACAATGATCTCGTCTCTAAAAAAAAAACAAAAAAAAAACAAAAAAAAAGGAAAAGAGGGAAAAAAAGAAAAATATGGGAATTCTTTGAATATTATTCTATACAACAATGGCACTGTATATTATAGAGATTTCATAGAAAATATTACTATTGTTTATTGAATATGTAACCTGAATAGCGTAATCTCTCTCTCTCTCTCTCTCTCTTTCTCTTAATTGCTCTACCTCTACCTACTCCTTGCAATAACGTCATTTTTTAAATTTTTATCAACAGTAAGATAAATATATCCTACTTTTGCAAATAATTTACAAAAAAATGTTAATGTACTAACGTACATCCCTATTCAGTTATAAGTTACTTGCATACAACAGAAAGAAAAGTATTCGATCCGTATTCTAACATATATCTTAACATTTATTCCATAAGACTTACTGAATGAAAAGTAGAGATTTCTTCCCGTAAATTAATGTTCTGTACATATATAGCGAATAATAATTCTATAAAGATAAAAACCCAATAAAAAAAAGAGTATATTGTAAACGCAGAAAATACTTAAATTTCTTATCCAACTTTTTTTTTACTAGATGTTTTATAACACTATGTTTTGTAAAATAGTTTCTATAACTATTGTATTTTACGATAAAAGATATACGAAAGACAAAAATTAATACAAAGACTCGATATATTTCCAAATGTAACAAGTTTCAGAAAATGATATAAAGCCAATGTGGGGTAAGTAATAACGATTAAAATCTTAAAAATTAAGTTGCCGAACAATAAAGTGCAGACAGTAGACGAGTTGGATAGGTAGACAAGTACATTAATAGAACTGCATTACACGAAGAGATGGCTCTTCTAATTTACAAGGCGGACAGCATACATTGCAAGATTGCAATACGTATGGTGACGGCTCACGAAATTGATACAAAGATGAGGAATCATCGAGGTACGCTAGTTCATCATTGTTATTTCCGACGTTCGATATGTTGCTTCTTGCAGAAGCGCAAAGAGGCTTGACATTCTCACTACTTTTATCACACGATAGAATTTGTTTTTGGCGTGCTTTATCGCAAGCTAATCTACAATACGCGGCCAGAGCCGCCTCTCTGGCTTGGTCCGCGCAGTAGAACTTTCTAAGGGCAATCTCCACATCACCCAAATCGGTCAGCTTTAATAATGCGGCACGACCTGGCTCGCAAACTGGATACAGTTTTGTCATGCACTCTGGTCTACCCATGCAATCCCACATCATGCATCTATCCTGTAAACCGTTCCTTTTGATGCATTCGCATCTGTACATTATACTCGATCGAAAGTCGAAGAATTTATATGGTTTAGCAGATCCCTGCAATATATTTCTTCATTCAATATGTTACATGTTTCAAGAGTAAATTGAATAACACGGAATTTCAAACGATTTAAAATAAATAAGATACTAATCCTTCGGAGGAAGAGACTGGTAAAAAATATTACTAAATATTTTTAATGAAAATTAACATTGGACACTCACACAGTAAGGTGGAATAGAGGATAAATCTGTGGGACAGTATACTATAGGTGCAGAAGATGGCTCGTCCCATTCACACGGTTTCCTACGACATATAAATTCAATAAACCATACTCATTTATCATTATTTATTGTCAAGTCAAATATGATCTTACTTCCTATCCATTGAGCTGATCAAACATTTTAATCGCGCTAGTAATTCGCGTCTTCTATCACAATTTGGGTTTTTACCATCGCAAGGCATTTTCTTTTCTAAATTCTATAGCACTCAATATTGGTAAATTTTCTTCTTTTAGGCTTTTCGGTTTTTTTTTCTTTATTTTTTTTTACATTTGTATTTTCATCTTATGTGATAGCGATATACGTCAAATTTAGTAATTGCACAGAAATTTAGCAGTGTCAGATAAAAATTTTCTGAAGTAACATAATTGTTAATTTATCGTAAACATCGAGTTTCCTAGCAACTACGTTTAATTTATCAATAGTTTTGATATATCCTATATAAATACATACAAGGTATGTAAAACACATACATTCAACACACATTTTTTCGTTTTTAATATTAAACAAGTTTTCAACTTTTATAATTAAATTATTATTTGAAATAAAAGATAATATTTCTACATTTCAATGTATAGCATTTTTGGGACTGTTTTGTAATAAAAAGACTTATATAAATATAGAAAAATAAAAGTATATATTTTTGCATAATTAACATCACAATATCTTACAATTACACTTTATATATATATGTACACATACATATGTATACCCACACACATATACATGTACATACATATATACATATATATTTCATATTACATTATATAAACATTGCATCGAATTACGAAGTGTGAATAAATTTATACGTATCTTTCCTAATTTTTAATAAAATTCCTTCTTCATTTAATTTTGAAATTAAAACAGTAAAATCATTTATTACAATATTTTCGGATGTCGCAAGCGCTTCCAAATCTTTCACTGAAAATATTTGTTCCTTAGTTGCTTTTACCCTTTTTTCTAGTATCTTTATAAACATTTTTATCTGTAGAAAAGAATTATAAGTTAAGAATGTAAATTGCTTTGGATATTTAAATATTTTTTATATAAATATAATTAAATTAGTATATATATACGATTTACCTTCTTATTTGTCAATTTACCATCAGATTGTAATTTCGGCATTGTATCTTCTACCGTATCTTCTACCGTATCTCTCGTTGCATATCGCAATATATCTATTACATCTAATGCATCCGCTTCGGTTGCTTCAATACGTAATTCCAGTTTTGCCCTAGCCTATAATGAAGCGATATAAAATATCTCATTTTGACATTCTCTTCGTCACACAACAAAAGATACTGAACCTCAGTTAATCGAATCATGGCTTCTAATTGTCTATTGAATATTGGCATACTACCAAATTGTTTATTTTTCGATCGAAGTTCTAAATAATAATTTTGTAATACTGTTGCAGCTTCAGCGGATAATTTTGGTTTCACATATTCACGAGCATAGGAAATATAAGCTCGAAGAATAGGCTGTGGTATAATTTTAGTGGATAATGGTAATATCAGCTTTTCCCTGAAATATTTATTACGCAGTTAGATTCGCTGTTCTATTAAAAATAAATACAATTAGCATGGGAGGATATTGTCAATCAGTGTCATTTTTTAAACTCAATAAACACGTATGTCTTATACAAAGTGTTATATATTTTTTCGTAACTATTGAAAGTAGCAAAAAAATTCTTTTTGTAATTTTCATAATTGAAGCCTTTTAAACGACAAGATGCTACTATTAATCTTCGCAAAAAGGGGCAATAGAGGCGATATCCCGTTTTTTTAATGGAATAATATGTAAATTTCTGCATTTTTTTTAGATAAATCTTGTTTAATGTAATAACATTTACGTAGGGCATTTTTTCCTATTTTGTTTTTCTATTTTCTAAAAATTAAAGACACGACAAAAAATATTTTTCAGAAAAGAAATTTGAAGATTATTGCTGTTAATAAAATATCCAATCCATTAAAAAATGGAACATTTCTTTTTTTGCTCCCTTTTTAAAGAATTGGAAATAGTATCCTATCTGTCATTTCAAAGGTTTCAAGAAATTGTAAAAAACAATTTCTCATCTTTAATAGTTTCGGAGAGAAAATACACTGTAATACTTTAAACATTCTGTATAATGCAAAATTAATTGTAATAATTATTTCTTACCTCAAAGCACATTCATTGTTGGAAGATAATAATTTGATAACTTCTTCATTGGGATTTGCATGTGAATTGCTATGAACAGTCATGATATGCTTGCATAATAGATTATCAAAATGCTATTACATAAAAAAAAGTTACGATTACAATCATTATTATACAATATATAACTGTTTTATATATTGGACTAATATTTAATTTACAAATAAATATTTACCGCATTTGGTTTATCCAATAATAAAAAAATCAAATCAAATCGCGAGAGAATAGGCTGACTAATATTTAGATTTTCGGTTATTGTTTTACTCTTGTCGTATTGCCCTCCGATAGGATTTGCCGCTGCGAGGATTGATATCCGTGCAGGAAGGGAACATATTATACCTGACTTTGCAACAGTGATACTTTGTTGCTCCATCGATTCTAATAACGCCTAAAATAATACGTGCAAAAATAACGTATAGATATTTATAAAACTTCATAAATATAACATTTTTTTTCTATTAATATTATTATTAAAAATGCTATATCGCTGGATATTACAATTTCTACATTAATAACATTCATCTGTTGCGCATGTCTTAGCATTACTTGTTACGAATTATACTCATGTTATTTTACCTGATGCTGAGAGCACATTTTATCGAATTCATCGATACAGCAACAACCTTGATCTGCTAAAACTAAAGCACCAGGTTCCAAAGCAAAATCATTTGATCCCGGTTCTTTTGTAAGCGTTACCGTTAATCCTGAGGATGTACTTGAATTGCCACAAATATATACACCTTTTAACAATAATTGCGTTTCCATATAAGACATTTATATATTACACGAAGAAACTTATAAAGAATTATTGATTTTCTCATGTATACCTTTTGCAGATATTCGACCACACGCTTGTAACAACTGCGATTTGCCAAGACCAGGATCTCCGACTAACAGGATATGTATATCGTCTCGTAATTGTGCATGTTTTGCGTTACCTCCAAATAAACTTAATATCAATCCAGCTTTAACTATCTCATGCCCGTATATATTAGGACATAACGAATGCACTAACAATGCAAAAAGATTTGGTTCTTTATATATATCCTACACGCGTAACAAAAGCAAACATAATTATTTCGGAATGCAAAATCAGCTTTATTTTACTTAAATATTTAATGAAAAACAGTACCTGTATAGCTAAATAATTTTTTAGGGAAATTTCGGTGCTCATAGAACTTTTATTTGGATACCTATGTTTATTATTAATAACCGTTATTGCCTTCATGTATAACGAAAATGGAGTCCCAACTTGTGCTTTAGTTGTACCATCATCGACTCCTTGAACCTAAAGCGTTATAAGACATTACACAGATACACAGTTCCCTCTTTCTTTACTTTAGTATTTAGTAAACATATTTAAATACTCAAATAATTTCGTCTTTTTATTAATAATAAAATGTTATTAGAAATAGTTAATAACTATATGAGATACAAATATAGAGAAAAGAATTTTTGAATATAAAAAATACATCTATAAAAGTGTTTCTTAAGAAATACCTTGATGATGCCTGTAAGTGTTATATCATCGCCAGGCATACAGATATTAACTAAATCATCCAGAAGTTCTACATCAAGTATTTTAGGTACTCTACCTTTAGTCTCCTGTAAGATGATGTTATGTATTAATATTATATACAATTTTATGAATATTTTGTTTTATGTGTAACTGATTGGAGATTTTATTAATATCACAATGTATTTGAAATACGTTAACTGTCTTTCTAAAATCACTAAAAAAATTTATTAAATATAACTACTAAAACATGTAAACTCATAAAATATATTATCTATGCTCAGATAGTTTAAAAATCAGAACATACACATACACACTATTATATACTTATTGTTACTATATAAAGAAATCATTAATTTTATAATCATTTAATTATAAGATAGCAAAACTACCTGGTCATCATTCAATGGTTCTTGTATTCTAATTATTTGGCATAAGACAGTTTTTGTACAAAGCGAGTCTAAAACTGGATAAAATTTTGATACACCACAGACATCACATTTTTTTGGCAATGTATATGTTTCTTGCTTCTGTTTGACTAATTTTTGCAAACGGCATTTGGAACAGGCAAATACTATCCACTGTGCAAGATATTTTACTCTACCAACTCTTATCACACAACCTCTGGTAGATAACAATTTTCCTGTAACAATTTCAATAAAGTGACAGTTGTTATTGCAAGAAGGAAATAAAACTAGCAAAGCATCATCATTAGATATACTTTCTAATAAAAAAATCTACATACATATGTATAAAAAATAATGTATATGTGCATGTATATCTGTGTATGTGTAAATACTTACCATAACAATTTAATTTAAGATCTCGCAAACATGTGATTGGTTGATAATTTAATATACCTAATTTAATGTTTGGTAAACTGCTAATAGATTTCAGAACATACTGTAAATTTTCGTCTGGTACTGTCTCTAAAATTTTCTAAAATCGTGATACAAGAAATTTACAACAGGGACAATTACAACAAAGCAGAAAGTAATCTAAAACTACATTACTCCTATTAAATTGGAACTCCCCGATATAAATCGAGTTTACCAGAAAAGACAACTGCATCATTTTACGGTAAAGCAATTCAAGTTTCTTAATTCACAGAAATTACTTGTTTTGGGCACTAAAATACTTTATAATTATATCCGAAATATTATAAAGATTGAATTTGTTGTTTCATCTAAAATGTTAAAAATAAATAATATATTGCTGCGACAAACATTCGTAGAGATAAACTATTTTCAATATTTTTAAAGCAACAAGAGTTCAATCTTTGATACATTTCAAAAATACATATTGTTTAGATGTCCCATTACTTTGAACCTTTCTTGCTAAACAATTTAAGCAATAAAATTAGAAATACAACAATAATCTGATACATAAGTAGCACAAATTTTTTAATAGGTACAAACTTGATTTGTAGCGGTAGAGATTCCACTTTAATAAAGATAATTGCAATTAAGGTCCGCAGGCATGTGACATTAAGTATTCATGCACAATTGATTGAAAAATATATGTATTTAATAATAAGAATGATACCTGATGAATACCAAGTTTTATACAGTTTAGCGTGTTTGTTGGATCCTCATATAATTCATCCTTGAAATTTGGCCATTCCTCTATAAATTCATCATCATTGTACAAGTCATATATATCGATGTCGAAAGACAATCCTGCTTCAAAATTTGCCATTGTGAACAATGAAGATAGCGCTTCGTGTCTTTCTATAAAGGCTTCTACAGCTTTAATGTGCTTCGTAATATTACCGTTGGTTTTATATTCTGTACAAAAATATAATTTATTAATACATAAAGCAAACCAGATATTTTCAGAAGCACACGCATGCATACATATATGTATACACATATATACAAAATATTCATACCTTTATCAGGAAAAAACAATCTCCATCCATAGTACGGAATATCTAAATTCCTGCCAACGTCCAGATTATCCGAATTACAACTTGTTTCATCTTGGTCTAAAATAATATAATGTTTATGTTATAGCTTTTAGAGAAACATAAAATATTTTACACCTTTTACTTTTAATGTAATTAATTTTAATATAAAATTTAATAAATATTAAATTTTTAACATATATTTATTTAAATCTCTTTTTAAATCTTCTATAGTCAATGCATTTAATATACACACATATGCAATACTTTTTTCTGTAAAGCTATGCAACTTATCTTTTAACTCCTTTCTTTATACTAAATTATATACATATACATATATAGATAGTAACACAAGAAATAATATAAAAAAGTTAACTGTTGAAAATCTCAATACTCACGTGGTTCAGTATGATTTTCGACAGTTTCCTTTGTTTTTCGTCTCTTTTTATAATATTTTGATTTGTCACCCATAATAACTTACAGTATTGACATATATATCGTATACATAAAAAGAAAAATTCTATTTTCGTACAGTTGAACTTCTTTATCCTTCTTTTTCTCGTTTTTTTATAGCACTTTGATTTCAAAACACGGTCAGCCTCTTGTTTGGGTATAAACGTAAACAAAGCCGATGACTTCTTCGGCAGACGGAGCAGACGTCTAGCACAAGTTTGAGCACAGACTTCTATTAACTAGACTCACAAACTAGACTGCTCACCGTGATTATGGCCGTGTTCAGCAGACACAACTGTTGAGTTCGTCTTATCAACACTCTGCGTTGATTGGTCGGTTCTAAAAGTAGAGCCAATCACGTTCAGAGAAAGAGAGAGATGATAAACGGTGCAGGAAGTTCGGCTAAAAAGAACAGATCTCGCGCGTACGCACACGCGCGCATGCGCACACGTGCACATACTGCGCAGACGCGAATGAGAGGGAGACAAAATGACCGCCAACACTTTCTCTCCCTTCAGCTCCGTCTCCCTCTCGGCAAAGCATCGTTGGAATTTGGAATGGAAGTCGCTTGGTCTATTTATATTACGTCTATGGTATCGGAGGCTCGTAGGCTTGTATTAGCGTGCTTTTCATCAGTTCGATATGGTTTGGTGCAACGGTGTGGCACGGTGAACGGCGAATGGCACGAGTGCGAAGCGATGTAGCGGAATAATCGCGAGTGTGTGTGTCCTGTGTCCCGTCGCGTTTCGGCTGTACATTAAAGCGTTTCAGGTAGTCCGATTATGTGCCTATAATGGTATACCCTCCAAAGCGTGACGTTCAGCGTAATTTGGAACGCGAAGCGGCGTCGGAGGAAATTCCGCGCACGAGCGATCGGCGTTACTATTTATGCCACTTTCTGTCAGCGTTGGACGATCGCAGGATGTAATATGTACATGTACAGGCGAAAGGGTGGATAGCAGCCTCGCGTCTTTGTAGCCCGCAGAATTGCTGCGCCGTCAAGGTTCGTGGTTTCTTCTAATTCCGTGTTATCTTGTCGAAGTTTTATATTCTTGCATTTTTTTTTCTTTTTTACTATTCTATGCACGCTATATATACCCCCTCCACTACGCACGCACACACGCACGTACGTTTAGGCTCTCTCTCGCTCTCCTTCCTCTTTTCTTTTCTCCCCCTCTCCCCTTCCATCCCCTTTTCGCTCTCTTCTTCCCCTCTTTCTTCCACCTTCTCTGCTCCCTTTTCGCCTCAGGTAATCGTTCATGCCAGAAACTTGTATTAACTATTTAGATTTTTTATCTTACAATTCTTTTTTTGGGTGACAATGAATTTTTTATACCAGTAATTCGCAGTCCAAAATTAGAAAAGAGAGCTACAAGTGTCATTCTCTTGCTTTGAAGCATTTATTGTTTCTCAAAGTAAGTTTTTCAAAATGTTGAATATAAGTATTGCAGTAAACACTGAAACAAGTAGGGCATGCTATCTCACATTATTGGTGTTAACGTTCGTTAAATTTTTCTCTCTCCCTTTATGGCTAGATTTATAAATTTGAAAATAAATGAAAGAAGCTGAACTTGTCATTGGAATTACAGATTATTGTGTCAATGGGACTGTAATATATGAGTTCTGATCTCGAAAAAATGTTTAAGAAAATCCACATGTTGTCGCTAATTATAACTTGGTTAATAGTTAATTAATAACTGATATGTTCAAGGGTTAGACAAGTGGAACTATCTGAAAAATAGAAATTTGCTTTATCACGTCACAATTTTGAGAAGTTTGTGATTAAAGCTACAAAGAGGGTAGTTTAATGATTTTTGTTAGATTATAATTATACAGCGTGTTACGTGTTGGAGAAATCTTTTTAAATAAAAATTAAGTATATTGTTAGGACTTTCAGTTCTTAAAAGAAATTTGTGTGTCGATTAGAAAGGATTAGAAAGGTATTTATTATTAATATATAGGGTCTACTGTATCAAACTTGTGACTACCAAATATTGTTTTCAGATCGCTGAATGTCCGAGTTAATAAATTTAATTTAAATTATATGAAAAATTTTTACACATTAATTATATTATTTAAAAAATTCGAGCATTTTCTAATTTCTAAAATTTATTGTTCTTAAAATATCATCGAATTTACTGTTCAACATAATAAACCGATTATGTGATTGTATTATAGTGCTATGTGTAAGAATACGTTTTATTAAATAAATTAATTGCTTTGTGCCGATTATCAGTTCATTGTCAATTCACTTTGTCAAATTAAATATTGAGCAATAAATTCGGAACCATAATAAATTATAGAGACACTAATATGAAAATGGCATTTAATCTGTTTAGTATATTTTACTTATATAGCTTTATGCATTTTCGATAATTTTTTAATTTATTTTGCGAGTAATAAATCCAAGTGACATATTTTACAATTTAATTTGAGAAACAATTTATTATTATTAATATTAATTTTATATGGGGCTAACTTCTTATTCTTGACTATTTTTTGCTTTTATACGTATAGTTACAATAATCCGCGGTATTGGTACATCCACAATCATTAAAAATTTTCAACAACGCTCTGCAGTATTTTAGAGCAAAAAAATTAACAGAAAATTCAGATTTAAAACATTAATTTTGTTATTTACTTTTTGTTTTCTATATGTATTTTTCGAAAATGGGGGGATATTAGCGTAACGCGAAGTTAGCACCCGGTCTTTGTACAATGGTTAATTAATTTCTTGCGAATGGGTCGGAGTATGTAAATATTTTAATATATTATAAACGTATTGCGTGTGAAAGCGCATGGTAAAGCGCGCAAAATTTGGCATTTAAATAGTCGAGCCGGCTAAAACAGCTTTTGGAGCAACAAGAATTATGGTACGAAAGAAAGAGATCATATATTATGGTCTGTTCTCCTTTACAGTTTCAAATTGGCCGAAGCTAGCCGAAGCCCGAAGCTCTAAACGTATACCACGTATATGCTTTTTCTTTTGTGTTCGGAGGATATATCATTGCCTCGCAGTTCACACACATGGACGTAAATGTGGTAGAGACGTTGTCATGGAAACGCTGGAGGTATTCTCAACAATTTCTTTCAATCGCTTGCGAGAGGGTCGCATTATGTCGAAAATCGCAACGGTACATTGTCGATGACGACGACGACCAAATTTTGCAAATAACACTTTTACATTAGGACTTCAAATCCGTAAATATCTCTGCTTGTGCGGGGCACGCGTGCAATAGAACCACACTTTCTTTATATAATTGAGACCCCAAGCTATCGATTAGGCCTATTAAAAACCTGATCGGCCTGGGTGTTTTTATTAATCTCAGGTACTCGCAACTGGACCGTTCACGAATAGATACACAATCCGTCTTGCTGTTGCTGCGTGTGATTTAGCACGAGACACTATCGTGTCTCATTGATGCTGCGTGACTTAGCCACGAGACTCTTGATCATAGAATTAAACAGCAATGATAAAAGTTTTATTTCTTGTTTCTTCGAAAATATTCTTTCTTTTCAATCTATTTTTGCAAAGCTGTACGTGCTATTTAACTCTGTGATAAGAACCGATTAAATTTTATTTGAAACATTTTTCAATAGATAGTTTCAGAGATATTGCTGAAAAAAGATTTTAGCCGTACAATTTTCGAGAAACGTTTTACTCCTCAAACTTAAGGCTGAGCAAAAATATATATCTCTTGGAGTCTGACTTGAACATATTTCAAAGAAAAACAAATCGGACACTTGAATAATGTGTCTTGACTTGAGTTGCAGGTCGCAGTTGTTGCTCTTGGAAACAAAGAATAGAGAAATTGCGCTTTTTATGATCTCGAGATAAATCGTTGTTTTGAAGAAGTGTGGAATATCGCGCAGAATGCAATAATAACTAATGATTGAATGATTAAAAACAAAGGAGTCCCACTATATCTTAACCAGGAATCTGATAATGAGACAATTGGATAACTGTCGATAAGGACAAAAGGTCTGTTAACATTTTTTAATTTATTGATGTTACACCAAGTTATATTTATTCTCAAAGGAAAATCACACACATACGCACACAGAGAGAAACCTTTGCAAAAGAGAGAAGAGGTTGTAGTGATAACCTAATAATACATTATGAACTATATAACTACAACATTGAACATGAAACACGATATCGACATATAGCGAGTACACGTTGATGCGAAACATCGAAGCTTTGAAACTGTTTCATCGATCCAAATTTACTTTAATATTTGCATAAAGTTTCACGTTCTTGTTTCTTTTTTTTAGAATATCTGCTTTTAATAATCAATTTTGTTGCTATGATCAGAATTACGTTTCTAATTCTCTCTGAAATATTTTAATTCATATTGGTCACATTTAATACATTTAAATTCCGCGTAACACTGTGTTGTAAGAAACAATTTACACGAGATTATCTATGAGTGAACAAAACGACAAGCATATTCTTTCGTGAAGTATTTGCAAATAATGCGCTTGAAAATTTGATAATCTAAATTGCTAAAATAGCTGTTTCGATAAATCATTTTGCATTCAGTATTTGATTCTCTTACCACACCCTTTCGATCTGACCTAGAATTTGAAAGATGGGCGCGGCGTTCTTAATCCTCTTTGGGCTTCCTTACATTGCATTACTTCCTCTCTAATCATTCGTAATAACGAGGAGAGTGATATAATTAAAAGGTCTATTACCACTTAAATCGGATCATTTTGCACGAGATTTTTCTCTCGCATACATGCTCGCACAGATATGAGATGATGTAAAAATAATATCAATTTATGTCAATTTGTATAAAAATGAAACAAGTATATTATTTTGCAATCTTAATCCAACGTAAATGCGCGTTGTTTTTCAGGTGAAGCTTGTATTATTGTAGTTCCTTTGTCCGCCTTCGCGCGCGAACGGAGTTTTACTCCAGTTTTTTGGCCGTGCCGCAAAATTCTTTTTTTCCTTCAAAATGGGAAAGTAAAAGAAAGACTCTTTCAGTGTCCATGCTTGTGGGTTACATACCGTGGTCACGCGGTCTCATTGCCAAATATGGCTGGCCGCGGTATTCTTAGCACTGCTCGTGCACGAACGACACTCGACGGAGCCGCCCGACAGGCATACCTATCGTCGTCCACGTCTCCGTCTTCCTCCGCAATGCTTTCCTTTTCTTCTTAATTGTGTTGTCATTATCTATTTCTTAATGAAGAATAGATCAAAATA